GAATGGCCTGAAACTATGGCAACAGTTTTGACCAAATCATGTGTTGTTGACTTGTCTTCTATGTCCATGTCTTTGCAAAGACATTTCAGTGATGTATCAGAAATATTCCACAATCTACCGATCACACTGCTGCTAAAGGCTAACAGCTTTCTTTGACCAGGCTAGGACTGTAAAGCCTCTCAGTGAGGTTCGAACAGTCGGAGAGATATTTCCTGTTTTTACTCCATCTGCCGTTTGTTTAGCTGAGTTACAGTGAAGCTAGAGTTGAAAAAAAAGGTCTAATTTTAAAGATTAGCCTGAGTGCTGCTTAACAGCTGGTGCGCAACTGATCAGGTGCTGCTGTTTGGTCCACCATAACACCTGGAAACGCTTGACAAAAAATACTCTTAAAACTCTTGTTTCCTGTTCTGTCTTCATTTCTGTGCACAGCCTACAGAGATGCACATCAGGCTACTGTTGTTCAGTTGGAAATATAGTACAAAACATGCTTTATATTGTAATAATTTCAATATTTTTGATCAGGATGATCCATGCTAATGAATTAGCTTGTGATGCTTTGCCATCAACAACAATCTTTACTAAACTTTAATGTTGCTTAAATTATAATGATACACATGAAAAAAGAGCGATGCATAAAAATGCTAAGACGGCTAATATTTCAGAAAATATTGTTTTGTTTTGTTTGTTTTTTTACACCCAACTCTTAGGTATGTCTGACACCTTTATTCCAGTACCTTTTCACTCCCAGCTCGTATGAAACCTAACTTTGTGTGAGACAAAGGAGATTAATTGCCCAACGGTCAGTGCCTGAATAAACTGTGGCTGTGCTGCTGACACAGCTCACGGCTGAATGTAAACACGACACAAACTGTTCAACAGCCACACGACACATGTGTGTTTACCTTCCAGGTTGGAGTAAAGAAAAAAAATTATTAAGACTACAGTAGTCGAACACAAATGAACCAGGACTTTGTTAGAGGCTAATGAAACACATATACTGTAGTTGGATATTAACATGAGTAAAGATGGAAAACATTTTATTAATAAAATAATATAACTTAGAAAATCATACAGTTTCTTGAGAAAATTGACCAAGGATTTTTTTTCTTTTCTTTTCTGTGACTAAGTAAATACAAAACTACCTGGATGTACATCAGCATAGGAAGTTATTGACACATATTTACATAGTTTGCTGTGATATAAATAGGACCAGACACCATTTCATCCAACAAGGAAGTTATACATAACATTTATACAAAACCCAGTTGAGTTCTGTCTGTCCATTCTCATTAAAGACTGACAGAACAACTGTGGAAACATTTGTTTATTTTTGTTGGAAAACCAAGGATTTGAGACTGTGGAAACATTTGTTTATTTTTGTTTTAAAACCAAGGATTTAAATCTCATTTTGACCAAATTATGAATGCATGTGTGTGTGTGTGTGTTCTGCTAGATATGAGAAAAGTGCAGACTCAGTGTCAGACATACTGTATGTATGTCAAATTTTATGTCAATATGTAAAACCACCTGCACGGGAAGTCCATATAAAAAGTTCAAGGTAGCGCTATAACGCGACCTTAGCTTCAAATTTTGAAAACTTCAGGTAATGTTGTTTTGTTTTTTTGTTTTTTTTTTGGTGGTTAAGACTAAAATCTCAGGGGTTAGAAAAAGCCTAGTTTTGTGGGAAGAGTGTTGTCTAACAAGCTAGTAAACTAACCAGTCCTCCTGACTTGTTTTTACTCAGCTGTACATGTACTTTTTACGTCTTAGGAGTTTACCTCAGGCCCGTTAGCTTCCTGCCCGTTTTAAATACAGTCAGTACACGTGGTTCACTGGACGCTATTAATCCAAGAGTTCAAGCTTCCAATCAAATCTCATTGTGACAGGCATTAGAGGGATAATCCCAGGCTAATGTGGGCCCTTACTGCAGGCCCAGTGGCCCAGACAAACAGCACCATCTCTTAGGTGTAGCCTTGGCCTGACCGAGCCGCTCTGGCTCATGGGCCTTCCTCGCTTTGCTATGGCAGGCTCACCGTCATAGCTGGGCCTTCGCAGGGATGTATGGTCGGTATGGGGAGCTGCACTTCATCAACAGAGGTAAAATGAACAACTGAATAGACTCTGAGATGTAGAAAGAGAAAGAAAGAATTGGTGTTAAAAGCACAGTGCTGTGAAATTAGCTACAAGCTAACATATATCCTTTTAAAGTCAAAATAGTGTTCTAAATTGAGAACTCAGCCCAAATTCATGTTTATTTAAACGCATTTTAAATTTAATTTTTTTAATTTTTTACAGTTTTTCCAATTAAATGCTAATCTAACGGCCATTGTAGCCGTAGCAGCCGAATATAAATTGGTTAGGGACGTGTCACTACACGATGTGTCCACAAGATGGAGGCACTAGTAAACTAAATACCAGGGCAAAAGAAAGATAGAGGTAAATAACATTGTTCACGACCAGTTTACTGTTGTCTTCAACACGAGCTTTACTTTAAAGTTAATTATGAAGCCTATAAAATAAAAGTAACACAATAATCACGCACCATAATGAATAAACTTGATTTACATAAATTTAATCTAATTCTAAATTATTCACACAGCAGAACAGACGACATACAAGCTGTGTTTAGTTGTAATTTTAGCATTGTTTTATAGCAATGTACTTTGGTACCTGTCTCTTCTGATGCCCATGTTTACAACCTAAATATCAGTAAAACATTTTTTTAGCTTAGCTAAAGTAAAACTGTGACTTATTGACAGATTTAAATGATCCTTTATTTTCTTTCTACACTTCCTAAAAAATTATAAAATCCTACGTCTGTAGTTTGCTGATTTATTATCTACTTGATAATGAACCAATCCGTGCAAAAAATCCCAAATCACTGATGAAGTTAACAATGCAGTAAGAATATACTAGACCCTTAGGAGATTTCAGGGTGGAAAGAATCATTTTGTTACTGGTTGTGATGAAAATGTTAGAGTGATGATGTTTCTGTTCAATTTTGAGTTTTGTAAAGGGTTGTGATGAAAATGTTAGAGTGATGACACACGAAATTGTCCTCTGATTAGTCTTTAACAAAACAAAGCTTGTTTCTGTTCAATTTCGAGTTTTGTAAATTAAATGACCATATTTAAACATGGCATTAAAATGAGAGACATTAGTGTCTGATGGAAGCGGGAGGATGAAGGGGGATGTGAACTTGGTGAACGGCCCAGAGGATTCATCATGAGCAGGTTTTTATTAGAGCGTTATCATGTGGTGTTTACTCATTAACAACGTGCCTTATTGTCTACGGTTATTAACTGAGACTTATTTTTTAATGATCATTGAACATAACACTTGGAGAGACTTAGTGCAGAGCTTGGCTGAGAGGCTAAAACACATCCCAGTGCTGAATGTCTGTGTGGACCACAGATATATGCTGTTATTTCACAGTTTTTATCAGTTTTTTTGTCCTGCTTTCATCAAATTACAACTGGAGTTGCAGTCCCTATTATTTTATCATGTGTGCTGTTTAGCAGTGCAGGTCAAATGTCTATTGACTCGCTGATGACTGAATCTTCTTTAGAGAATCAGAGAGATAAAGGCACTCAGAGCAAAGCTGCTGACTGAGCTGATAGGGCCAGAAGCCAAAATGAATTCTCAGCAAAACAAGGTTAATGATTACAGTCTCTTATCATGTGCTGTGATTGATTTACGTCTTGCAATGTTCTCCGTGTTTATTGATGCAATTGTTTACTTATTTGGTGCACAGGGGCTGTGCTCACGGCCCGACTGGGCGAGAGATGGAGCAGGTTTGTGAAATATTCAAAAGTTTAGTTTTTGGGGTTTTTTTCAAACCTGAAACAAGGCAGAAATCTGTAACTTTGACAAACAAACAGAGATCATTTAAAGACATGGCCAATGTGAGAACTCTGACTTCTTAGACATGAACCAATAATAGTCGGCCAATACCCTGATTGGACGGTGTTGGGGGGTCATGTGACTGTTGTTGCCGAGGGAAGACCTGATGTCAATGAAAAAGTTTGTTCTCATGAAATCTTTGTGAAAGAGTTACAAATGTGAGGAAACCTGGTTGAAAAATAAACCAGGGATTAGACCGATTATATTCACATCCAAGATTCTCGAGATCTTTTTTTTTTTTTTTTCAGGCTGACGTGGTGACTGCAAACTTTTAATAAGGACCTCGGAGACAAATGTTTTCTTTCTGACTCAGATTTTA